CTGCAGAAGTCTGAGCCAGGTTCAGCAGTGGTCAGTTGGCTTCACAGGTTATTTCCTCATAACTTGACCCTGTGTCTCACAACACTGAATTTGGGGGAGCCCCCTTCCCCTGACAGCATCACGGCAGGTGTTACTGTGTGTGCGTTACTCACTATGAGTCAGGCAGTTCAGACAGTAACCGGATGAAGGAGGAAGTTGAAGGTTCCAGCAGCTCCGTCGGGTGGCAATCTTTGGAGGCCCCCTTCATTCTGACTCCGTCTTGCCCTGGGTTCATGGCCCCATGCACAGGAGCGCCACCATCAGGCCTCTGGAGCAAGCCACTGGCCTCAGCCAGAATCCCCCAACCCCAGGATCCCAGCAGTGCTCTCTGGAAAGCAGAGCACTCAGGCTCAGCTGCCTTCCCTTCTACACACTCACATCCTCAAGGGCATCCCGCAGAACCGCCTAGAGGGGTAAACTGGCCCGGCCCTTCAGCCCCACGTCCAGGTGGAAGGGAAGGACAAACATTCAAATGGGAGAGTTCATTGAAAGAGAGGAGTTGTCAGTGACCAGAGAGGGAGGTGGCCTTTCCTTGCTCTGGAGCAGACTGAGAGGTGGAGAAGGGAGAGACTAGAGACCGTACACTCCCCTTTCCCTCTTGCGGCCCTGAGCAGCAAGGAGGGGAGAGATTTAGGATTAGATCGGGATGGGGTGCTGACATTTTAACTTAAGCGGCCCTGGACGTTTACCACCCTCCAAGTGAAAGTAAGCCTGGGATGTCAAGGAGTCAGGAATGGAAATTCAACTAAACGTGTTCACATGTGTTTCTTTAAGCTGGTAAAGTAAAGCCGTTTCCTGTCTGTGTCCTAGCAAGGTCAGCTACTAAATAGATCAGCTTCCTCCAGCCCCAGGAGGCCCTGTCGACTCTGGGGAAAATCCTTCTCATTCTGTGTTTACTCTAGACCATCTGGGTCTGACCAGCGAGCACAGGCTTTCGGAAGACAGACTCAGTCTGATTTAGAGGTTACTCTGCTCACCTGCCTGCTGCATCCTTCCCCAGGGGAATGAGGACAGGGGAGCGCCAACTCCAGCTCAGGAGAGAAGCAGGGAGAAGGAAAATATAGGAAGGAAAAAATGTGTAGAGATCACTCTCAAAAAACCTCAGTCCAGACACACCAGTCAAAACAAACAAACAAACAAACAAAAAACAAACCAGAGACCAGAGTGATAAAGAGGGCTGCTGGAGCAAGGAGACGTCCTTGGCTTCTGCAAATCTTTAAGGGACAGGGATCCGATGGCTCCTTCAACTCACACGCACCCTCGGCCTGTAGACCAGCCAAGGAATCTCTATCCAGGGCCTCGGTTTTCCAGACTGTCAAAATAGACATCAAAAGCTGGTTCCAGCGACCTCACCAGGTGGCATGGAATCAAATACGATTCCTTGGTCTTATATGAAAAAGAAACTCTGAAAACTGCACAGTTTCCCAGAATTTCCCGTCGCCATCATTGCCAATTCCTGAGGCCCCTATGGAGACCCGTTACCTCTATAGTTCTCCGAAGGATATATTTAGGGCATTCTTGCTTTGAAACTCTCTTTGGAATTTTGCAATACAGTGGTCTACTAATTTTAAACATGCTTACAAACAAATTGTGTTCCAAAAGGAGACATGCAGGTTGGTTAGTTGGCTCTCAGAATTCAGTTTCACATAAAAACTGTGCTAAAACAAACGTATGATTCATGTGCAGCCAAATTAGTAGAAAACAATACTGTTACAATGTGGTAATGCAGCCAAATGGGAAAAAAAGTACACCAAAATTGACTGGGTAATTGTAGGTTGACCAGCTTAAATCCAGGTGCTTTAAAATTCTCCACAAATGCTTGAATGTGCTTGTTTCCTGCCTTGTGCTGGGCATAAAGCAGGTATAACAAGGCGGGGACGAGGGTATGTGGAAAATTGTGATGGAATTCCTGGCAAGTCGGAGCAACCCACACATTTCTCCTGTAGAACTTCCCGGAGCCAAGCCTCCTCCACTGTCCGTGTCCACCGACCACTTCCTGGCTCCACCCAACCCTTAGCACATCTCTCCATCTTCCTCCCCCGCCTCTAGCAAGGATGGGACCCGCAAACGAGGTATCGAGGTTTGGGGGGAGGAGGGGTTGACAGTTCTACTTTTAAATTTATTAAGATAATTTAACTGCAAGAAAAGAAAATAGCAGCCCTCAGTTGCCAGGTTCTAACCCAGAGGAGCTGAGCATAGGAGCCACACGTTCATGAAGTGCCCTGAACGTGGGGACACCTGGGGGATTTCCCAGGTGACTTTCTTTAGTCTCCTTCCATTGTGTGAACCATGCAGAGGGCCCCTAAGAAAGGCACCCAGAGGTTCCTGGCCTCGGAGACTCCCTCTGCCTTCAAGGCCTGATGTCTATCTAGCTAAGCAGGCAGTGCTCGAAACCAGCCCAACTTTCCACCTCTTGCCGCACCTTGTACAAAACTTCCTCTCTGACAGACTTTCAAAACTAGGAACACAGTGCCCTGGGGCAAAGGCAACAGACATGTGGCTGCAGTGGTCACAGATTCCTATTTTTAACATCTACTTGTTCAGTGGTCTATACCTTCAGCATGCCAGCTGCATCCAGGCCTTTCTTTAGGTCTTTAGCCAACATTAAAAACCCAGCGTGATGGTTAATTTTATGTGTCGACTTGACTGGGCCATGGGATGCCCAGATATTTGGTCAAACATTGTTCTGAGTGTGTCTGTGGGGGTGCTTTTGGATGAGATTCACATGTGAATCAGCAGACTGAATGAAGCAGGGGGCTCTCCTCTGAGTCAGGGTGGGCATCCAATCAGTTGAAGACCTGAGTAGAATAAAAAGGCTGAACCTCTGGTGACTAAGGGGAAAAACGCATCCTGCCTGATTGCCTTGAGCCTTTGGGCTCAAACTGAAACACAGGCTCTTCTTGGGTCTTGAGCCTGCTGGCTTTTGGATTGGAACTTATACCATCAGCTCCTCTTGGTCTCCAGTTTGCTGAGTGTAGACCGTGGGACTTAGTGTCTGGAATTACATGAGCGAATTCCTTATAGAAAATTTCTACTACGTATCTATCTATCATCTATCTACCTATCTAAGATAAACTTTTGTTTTTACATTTATATATGTGTGTGTGTGTGTGTGTGTGTGTGTGTGTGTGTGTGTGTATACACACACACACATCCTACTGGTGCTGTTTCTCTGGAGAACTATAACTAATGCACCCAGTCTATCCAAAAAAGTGCAGTTGAGGTTGAAAATACTGATAATGAGGAAAAGGATGTCAGTGCCCTTCAGCCAGAGGCCACCAGGAACACACGTGTGGTTGGCCTGCATTACTTTGAGGGAGAATGTACACCATGGGGAACCGGGGAGTGTCTCTGTAAGAGGATGTTGGGAAGAACCTATTATAGGGAACTATATTCAATATCTTGTAATAATCCATAATGGAAAAGAATCTGAAGAATTTTTACATATATATATAAATAAATAAGTATATATAACCGAATCACTTTTCTGTGTACCTGAAACTACAACACTGTAAATCAACTATATTTCAATTAAAAAAAGAAGAAAGAACCTATTATAGATTTTGGGCTTTGGGGTGATGGAGGAGAATCCAAGAAAGCAGGGGTTTATCCTGGCTTGCACACAAAAAAAGTAAGGACAGAAAGTGAGATGATTCTATGATTATCTCCACAAGTGTCTTACCTCTGGGGAGGGCTGTCTAGAGCAGGGATAAATCTGGAATTGGTAAAGAAGCAGCAGTCACTCATATTAGCCAAGAGAGGGAGTGTTTGGAATTCTGGGGGTGGCACAGTGACTTTGTTTTTCCCTGTTCTTGGACAAATTTATGAAGTGTCCCTGTTTTGTCTCACTTTGTCATGGTCTCCGGGTGGCCTTTTCTGATGTTGGTGTTCTGTGAGGTTGTTTAGGTCATTTCCACTCCCCTAGTTCTCCCCCCGATCTGCACCCCTGGCCTGTCCCTCCACCCAGAAGAGAGCTGAAAGCATATGGGGGGGCGGGGGGGCTGAGTCTCACTTGTGCAGAGGCGGGGGCTCTGGGATCTTCTGAGGGGAGTAGCCCCTTGTGTATCACAAACTTTTCAAGTTCCCTTTGCAACTCCCTTTTAAAAATCTCTCCTATTCTGTATTACCAAAAACCAAGCAAGTCATGTAATTCACAAATTCAATCCTTAAACCAACCCTAGAAATTTTTTG